CCGCTGACGTAATCACGCGCCACCGTAGGTTAAAGATTTATATGCTTTATTTTATTTTATTTTAAAAATATTTCTTTGGGAAAATGAGACTGATAGGATGATTAGGGTGCAGTGTGCATTAACACAAAAATATATTACTAACATTCTACAAAGACACACTTTTTTTTTCTCCTATACGCATTTCGGATCTAATTGGGACGAGTCCTAGATCTACCGGTAGATCAGGATTGACGTAATGCTCACCCCTGATGTAGATAGTACTATGCATTTGGAGTGTACATGTGTGGTTTAGCTACTTTCATCATTTTATTGGAGCTTTGCCTGCCACATTTACCAAGCAGCTTGTCCAAAATCCGCCTCCGAATTGATATCTGAGCTGCACTGCCAACATAACTTACGAGAAACGAGAACGCAACATTTACATCAGGGGTGGCCAACCAGTCAGAGACGAAGAGCCAAATTTTTTCCTGTTACTACAAAGAGCCACATCATACCCTTCCTCGTGCATGCGCGTGCGCACAGTACAGACACACACATACACACACACACACACACACACACCAACACACGCACACACACACACACACACACACACACACACACACACACACACACACACACACACACACACGCACACGGAGGCACTTTGCCGTGAGGCGTAAAAGAGCGAGAGCTAAGTGAGGCCACTCACGCACTCACGCGGGTGCCCACCAGTGCACTCGCACACATATGCACGCACATCACGATGAGCAACAGTCGGAACGGTCGAAAATGAATGCAAGCTAAAGATACAAACAAACAAATCTTTTTTTTCCCCATTTCCTCCTCCCACCCCTTGCGGTCGACTTGGGACCAGTTCACTGGCTCCCAGTCGACTCTGATCAATGTATTGGGCACCCCTGCCTTAAAATCAAAGGTAATTCGCTGACTAGCTTAGCGCTTACCGCCGTTGTTTGCGCTTGAGCGGTGATGCAGTCATTTCATTGGTTGCCCTCTATGCCAATCAAGTAACGGGATTGATGATAAGGTGACGTAGTGCGTTACGTGTATCTAGCGCCTTGTTTGAATGATTTCGCCACTGCCGAGGCGTTTTCGGCGCTTGTCGTGTGAAAGCCCGGGAGCCGCATTGAACCAGCCAAAGAGCCGCATGCGGCTCGCGAGCCGCGGGTTGGCCACCCCTGATCTACATGGAGTATTGGATTAAATAAATTCGAGAAAAAACTAGTTATGATGCCCACGACAGAGCAGAGTAAAGTAAAAAAAAAAAAAAACAGACAACAGCATCCTCGAGCACGGATGAGTTGCAGCTCTGCGACAGTGCGATCCATGTATTCCTGTGAGGCCACGCCCCAAAGTCACTGACAACATGCAGGTGTTTTTGGTGCAGGCACACCAGTGGATGTGTCATCGTGGGCTCCAGGGCGCAATCGAAAACCCCCGAGTCGTTGGGCGCAGTAGAAGACTCCCAAGTCGCTGGGATTCACGCCTTCGATATGCAGAAAAGCTTGCCGAGCGCTGGCATCCATCCTGGAGCGAAATCTTTCACTGTACTTTTTCGCCTTCTTGCCCTGACCGACCTGATCTTTGCTGAGGATGAAGTCAGGCAATGAGTTCACTTCTTGTTTGTCCCACCAGATGTCCGCCAAACTGTCGGAGCTGCAGTCCAGCGTCACTGCTGCACCCTCCACGGTGCGGACGTCCCGTTGTGGCTGGTGCAACGTCTGGCTGTTGATTCCTGTCACGAAAAGCCAACAAAAGCGATCAGACATCAGTGGAAAGCGGCAGTGACTTCACATGTTGACATCACTAAGGCTCCAAGCAGCCGCCAGCACACATTCAAGTGCCCTGAATGAAAAAAATTGTCAGAATATCAATAAGATGCTTTTCGACTTCTTGTGGAGGAACAAGATTCACTATGTGAAAAGGTCTGTTGTAATGAGTACCTACGAAAGTGGTGGATTGAACTTCCTGGACTTCTCTACCCTTAATAATATGTTTAAAATCAATTGGATCAAACAATTTTTAGGTAATCCCTCTTCTATTTGGAACTTTATACCTAACTATATATTTTCTCAACTTAGTGGTCTTAACTTTGTACTTTTATGTGACTACAAAATAGAAAAAAACTCCCTTGGCTTGATCCAATTTCCACTAACAAATACTTTTGGCTTGGTCCTTGATATATAAACATAATTTTTCCCCTCATAAATGCTTTATCTGGAATAATCGTTACATCTTTACAAGAATAGATCATTATTTCTCCATAATTGGTTCAGTGATAAAATAATCCTGGTCAGTCAACTAATCAATAATCAAGGTTTCCTTTTAAGTTACTCTGAATTTTTTAAATAAATTTAATCTACCTGTCACCCCAAAGGAATTTGCTACAGTCATGAATGCTATTCCTTCTGGAATCTTGACCCTCTTGAAAGGGGTGGACAGAACAACCTCCGCACCTGTCATGATTGTTTGTGACCAACAGGTGGCACTGTAGGGTTCTCCCTGCAGCTGCACACCTGTTGGTCATTATGCAATTAGTACTTTAAAAGGACTCCAAGCCCGACCACTCATTGTCGGGTCATTGTTGATGTTGGCTCCTGTCATGTTTGTTTGTTGCTGTTTGCTTGCTGCTGTCATGTTTTTGTTCCTGTTAGTTTTTTGCCACAGCCATGGTTTTGGTTTATTACTGTGGAATCTTTTTGTTTTCATGACTTTGATTGTTCTGGATTTATTTTCTGTGTTTTAATACAACTCGTCAAGTTCACCCTGCTCCTCCCTCCTGCCTGTTTTTTGGGGTCCACCACCACCTCGCTACGTGACAACACCAACCCTGGACCCCAAAATGACTGCTATCGGCAAATCCTGTTTTACGTCAACATCAGTCAGAAATAACAACCGTAACATACGTTCCCTGTTTCAAAAAGATATTTCAACAACCCCACATATTATTACTTACTGGTCTGGTTTTGTTGATAATCTACACTGGGGAAAAATCTGGTCTCTCCCATACAAATACCTCCTGACTAATAAAGTAAGGGAAATATCTTTTAAAATGATACACAAATACTATCCCACCAAACACTATCTTCTTAGGTTCAAGAAAGACATCTCTGTTGAATGTTCATTTTGTGGAATGTACCCTGTACACGAACATATTTTGGAAAGCTGTATCCAGATTTATTATTGAACGCATTGACTCTGACTTTATGCTACACTGGAAAAATGTACTATTTGGGTTCTACAAAAATAAGGAAAAAGACACTAAACAAACCTTCATTATAAATTTAATAATCATTCTCGCTAAGTTCCATATCCACAAATCCAGATGGAGTAATTCAAAACCTCTTTTCTTAATTTTTGAAACAGAAACAAAGCAGTACCTGAGTTCTAATATAGATTCCAAAAACAAGAAAGCTGTTAAGACTCTGGTTATATGCTCCTTATTTGAATTTTTTGTTTAAAAATCCCCTGGCTTCTCTCTGTTTAAATGTTTGTAATATGTGCATATATTAATAACGTGTTCGTTTTGTTGTCTGTTTACTGAGAATTGTATCCTGACTTGTTCAATAAAGATTGTCAAAACACACACACACACACACACACACACACAACCCACACACCCACACACACACACACACACACACACACACACACACACACATTCAAGCGCCCGAATCTGCACTCGCAGTCTGCATGAACGCTGACTTGTCGCTGAGGGGGCGGGGCTGTTCTGAAGTGGTGACATCACACATACACAACGGAAGTCGTGTACAATATTGCTGTGAAGAGTGGAGTGACCCCCTGAGTCGCAGCAGCGCATTGAGGTTCGTCATTATCTTGATTTGAATCGTACCAATTGACATAAAATAAAGTAAATACGTATTTAATCAGCACATCATTGTTTCACGCAATTTTATTGAAATTTGTGTGGAAAAAATAAACTTAATTTAAAAGTATAATTTGAGTCCAAACCCTTGAATTGAAGATCATAAAAAGAAAACTCAAGATGAAATAACTGCTTTGGAATAAAACAAAATCACAGCAAATTTAAGGTTAACTCACCAAACCAAACTGTTAATTTCACCCAAATAAATTAGCAGTACAAAGGTAAAAACTGCTGATTTATGAGGCCTTTTATTTTGAAATGAAACATCAGATCATCATGAAAGTACTGTGGTTAGAACCTGCGTCGGCAGCGTGTGCCCTCGATCTTGTCTGGTTGCGGGAAAACATTTATTTATTTTTTAAAGAGGTGAAATTTTCGTGATTGATGGAGAGTTAATATTGACTTTATTTTCAGTCTAAACTTCAGAAAACTTCTCGGTGCTATTCTGAGAGAGTTTTCATTCTCTCTGGGTGAACTCATCGTACCCTGACCGCCAAGAAATTATTTTAAAACATTATGCTAAATCCAAACCGCTGACAGTTTGTAAAAGCTTTTATTTTGAAGGTGGTCAACGGCGCTCGCTGTTGGCAGATTTCCGTGATGCAGAGCGTTAACAATCGCTGGCTTGACCGCAGTGCTCGACTGGGGCGAGAGGAGCGATCGACGCTCTTTACGAAATTCTCCTGAATTTGTAGTCAACGTGCTAAAACCTCCACTCGGGGCGCCCAGCATCATCTCGCTGGATCAAAACATCTTTCGTTGAAGCTTCGTGTGCGATGAAAGTCGTCTCGGTGTACGTTGATATTTCTCGGCCTAGTTTAGCTTCGGTTAGCTTTCTAGCCGCTAACAAAGAGGCCCTCGTGCTCAACACATCGCTCCGCAGAGATCGGAAGCGTAAAGTGTTGTAATTTTCGTGTAAACAATGTGCGCAAGAAGGACAGTGGAGTACGAGGAGGAATTTTGTGAAGAAAAAGAGGACTACAAGGGACAACGTCAACTGCTGGACGCCATTGGCAGGATGCAGCCGGAAATTGTTCTTCAAGGATCAGGTTGGGTCACAGTGTTCGTCTCACTTGTTTCGTATTCTTTAATAACAGCCTTCATATGCTGTCTTTCTTGTACGCAGTGTGTGTTTGTGTTTGTTTATATCAGTGGCGGATGATTGTCTGTCAAGGAGGGGAAGCTTAACTTAATTTCGGCCTACATCATAAAATGTAGTGATGTGTCGTTCGCGAACGAACCGGCTCTTAGAGCCGGCTCTCACAGAGATAAAAGTCGTCCAGATTTTCCCGGAATTTCGGGTTTTTCAAAATTTTATGAAAATTTCTCCGGAGAATTGAGGAAAATTTGCATAAAATTAATCCGGATATTAGTTGACAACATTGAACGAAGACGCGTTTGAGTTCGTTGTATTGCTTTCACGAGCGTAGCCATATTGAGGCACTAACACTAGTAACAGTAAAGAAATTTTTATTTGTGTAATAACGACAGAAGACATGACGGCGTTTGACGAATGGTTTAGTAGAACGAATGGCAACTCGCAACAACAGTAGCAAGCGTCATTTTGCCTCTTGGGTTATACCATCTCAACTAGAACGTGGGGGATAGTCCCCAAACAATTTTCGTCTCTTTATAAACACACCTGCTAAACCCCAGTGGAACGAATAAAAGACGCCGTGGACAAGACAGTTGTCGTAAAAAATATATTTGGCCAAAAAGGGAAAAACACAGATAGGAAGAAAATCGTGTCCGTCTGACTTCGAGTGTCGTCTCGGCTAACTTAGCTAACCTAGCTTAGCTGGTGTCTTGTGTGACGTCATTTGCGTCGGCGCTGATTGGTTGAAATCAAAAGGCGCGCTTGCGTACATTTTATTTATTTATTTACGTATGTATGTATGTATGTATTTATTTATTTATGGAATTTTCAGAAAAGTCCACTTTCATCTCTGCTCTTTGAAGTGAACGACGGGAGCCGGCTCCTAAATGGGAGCCGCTCCTAATAGGAGCCGACTTTTTTTTTTCTCCTGTTTCCCCCAATTCGGATAAAGCCGCACGTGATTGGTCAAGATCCGTGGTAGAAGAGGGAGGGGATGGTTACACACACACGCTGCAGCGTCGAGAAGGGAGAGGCGTTAGAGACACACACACACACACACACAGCAGCACACGAACAGGAGAGACAGGGAGACGAGAGAGAGCTCGATAGCGCTACAGAGAAAAAACAACACGGTGGAAAGTGGAAAGGTGAGAAAATGAATAGGAAAAGCAGTGAAATTTGGACCCATTTCAACTTAATTGATAGTTCAACAGCAGCGTGTAGACTGTGCAAGGTTAAAATATCCAATATCAAATTTTAATTTATAATTTGTTGTGTGGTAATCAAAGCTTATGTTGTTTTACTGAAAATAGTTAAAAGCTTATAAATTTACACAATCAGAGTTTGGAACTTTTTGTTGACCTTGTTTTGAGATGGGTCTTTGTTTTTGTACTTTGTAATTTATTTTTTGTAGCACTCCATGTTGAGTATGTTCAGAAGAATATAAATAAAGCCATAAATATAGAAATAATAAAGATTTGATATACTGTATATTTTTTTACATTAGTAATTCATTTTACACATAATTTTACATGATTTTTGGAAGTAAATTAATTTAAGCAACAAAAAAACTGAGGAGCCATTTGGGAGCCGAAAGAGCCGGCTCTTTTTAGTGAGCCGAGCCAAAAGAACCGGCTCTTGAAAAGGAGCCGGAATTCCCATCACTACTCCGTACTGAATAAAATGTGTCCGTTTATTTTTAACAAGGCGTCTTTTCCAGGGTCTTAACTGTGGTGAAATAAGTCAGTCTGCGAACACAAGCAATTACAATAAAACCCACCAGAAATAAAAGATTAATTTGTCGGTTTCAACAGAGTGTCGCGATGATGATTGGAAGAAGTCTCCAGTTCAACTCGGAACAGAATCAGAATTGAAAAATGCTCCCACGGATGATGACACCAAAAGATCAGTGATTGGCTCGTTTCGCTGTCAATCAAAAGAGATTCCGCCTCAGACAGATCATCCAATCATGCAGAAAAGCTGAGCGTCCATTTTAGGGGAAGCTAAGCTTCCCTTGCAGTCTGAGAGCAATCGCCTCCGAGATGTGTGTGTGTGTATATATGTATATATGTGTGTGTATATATATATATATATATATATGTATGTATATATATATATATATGTATAGGCCACGCCCCCAACAACACAACTCCTCTTCTGTGTGCAAGTGTGAATTGTTTTTTTTTTTTCGCGAACAGAATATTGGAATTTAAATTCATTCAATTGTGTTGGGAATTTAGTCAAGTAAGTGTTTAAGGTGTTAATATCAATACTAAAAATTACAAAGAGTTGTACAGTTTTTTTTTTTTTTTAACAGCAGCAATCATGGGTACCACGATAATGCGCGTGATGTCAGTACATACATAAGTGAAAGTTTGGTATCTGTTTTCAAATGTAATGAGTAAACTACAGATAATTGATCAATATACTCAAGTATTGCAGCTAAGTATTTGGACTACGTTACTTTTCGCCACTATAAGTTTACCTGTCGTCTCCAGTGAAAGCAACCATGAAGAAAAACTGGAAGGCAATGGAGAGGTTGAGCAGAGAGGGTGGTGCTGGGGGATATTAAACTGCTCTTTAATCGGGGTTGCGGGTTGGGGGGGTCTATGAGGTGAGGGGATACGTGGAGGCTGGCCGAGGTGTCCACACTGTAATCCGATACGCGCGTGCGCACACGCACCCCAGCCTCGAGTTGAGGGAAAGCTCCGGCTGGAAGTCACTAAGACGGCGGAGCTCGGAGAGTTACGAGCGCGCTTCCCCAACGAGAGAGAGAGAAAGAAAGAGAGAGAGAGAGCAGCGCAGGGGAAGAGCGTGTTAACTGTCAGTTCGGAGGAGGACGGCGAAGAGCCTCCACCACGTTCGGTTTCTCTCTATCCGCTTTTACGCACGCGTTGACAAGACAGACTAGAGAGCGCGCCTCTTTCCAAACATCTTTATCTCCCCTTTTTAACCCTACAACCTACTGCCACATGGACTGTGTCGCCACCGTTTTGGGAATATAATCACCACATGGGCATATTTATGTGCGGCGCTTTTGAAATAAAGGAACGGAGGCGGCGATGTTTTGACTAAGGGGAGTGATTTGATTCTTCTTACTTTAGACAGTTTTTTTTGTTTTTTTTTTTTTTACAAACTTGGACGCATGTTTCCATTTGGTAGTGGCCACGGATACTTTTCACTCCTCTTGTGACTTCGCATTTGCCTCACGTTGATGACGAGATCCCAAAGCGCAGTATTATTACGCACCACACAAAAAAATGGATTGTGGACACTGTGAAGAGATCATATCCCGAGAGAAAAGACGCACGGCCACGCACTGACAACCGGATGCCACTGAACATGTCGAGTGGTTGAAAGTAAAATAAATATTCAGGAATAATACTTTTACAATTTTTTTAAAATTGTATGTTGCGTTATATAAACTTATTTACATGGACTGCAGCACATGGGATTATTTTAACAAAAACAAAATACTCATTTTACCAAAATAAATATTAAACATGAAAACAAAAATATCCTTTTCATTTGTACAATTACTCTTTTCACATCCCCTCTGAAATCACTGAAAAAAATATCAGAAGAGGAGTTAAGAACCATTTTAAATACTGACACAAGGGAGTACAGGAATGTGCAGTGCTGTTCTTCCACTAAAGGTGAATGCAATGTCTGAGGCATGCAAATATAACCTACACATGCTAAGAAGATACATCAAAATATCCATTTCCTTTAACAAAACAAATCAATCCCTCATTTCCTTTTGTAAACTAGTGGCAAGAACTTAGTCTTTAAGGTGCAAAAAGAAGTGTACATTATGTGCATTTGTGCTGAACACTGCTGCTTAATGAGAGAAATTACATTTTGTGCTTGTTGCCAAGACTTTGAACTTTGGCACAAAAGGTGTGATGGCCAGGCGGAGACACTGATGCAAGTGTTCATTGGTGAGTCTAATACGGTACTTGTTCTTCACAATATTCATTGTGGAGATTGCAGACTCACATCTGTAAGTTGACCCAAACATTGTGAGAATGTTATTTGCCAGCTTATGCAGCAGAGGATGATAATTAGCTGCAGTTACTATCCTTGTCCACAAAGTGACAGCGTCACACTGACAATGAACAGTAGGACTTGTTTTCCTAATGTAAAGTCATCAAAACGAGTCTTGAAATTTGCAATCAGCTTCTCCAGGAATTCCACATGACACTGAATGTGATCTCCTTTTCCTTTGGTCTGTTCCAGAAGTTTGGGGAAGTGTTCCATTCTCTCCTGTGGGTAAAAAATAAATAAGGAGAAATGCTTTAAAGGGGGTATGAAGTATTAAAAACATGTTAAGTGGAGACCATAAAATGTGTGTGGTATTAAATGGAAAATATAATTACCTGTGGGTCAACTTTGAAATTCTCCAGCTTCCTCTGGAAGGCCCGTACTGCTGACATCAGCTCACACACTGTGCTGTCCTTCCCCTGTAGCTTGAGATTTAGCTCATTGAGATGAGATGTTATATCTGCCAAAAATGCCACAACTTCCATTTTCTCGTCATTTCTCAGAAGTTCCAGGAATTGTGTTGCTTTTGTGCTCTTGTGCTGTGACAGAAACATTTCCAGCTCTTTTCTTACGGCCCAAAAACGCTCCTGCCTTTGCTCAGCCATCTGACGTTGTTGTGAAGGAGCAAATCATCATAAGCTGCATCTACCTCTGTCAGGAATGTGCGAAGCAAGCGGTGCTGTAGTGCAGATGTTGCTCTCAAGAAGTTTATGAGTTTCATCATTGTTGTCATAGTTTCAGAGTACACTTCTCCCAGACGTGCACAAAGGACAGACTGGTGGATTATGCAGTGGTAGCCTATCAAACCAGGGTGATACTCTCTCAGACGCTGAACCAGTCCTTTCTCTCCCCCCAACATGGCTGGAGCTCCATCAGTAGCAATCATACATGGCAATTTTCCGCGGATCCGCGGAAATCCGCCGTTTTATTTCTTAAATTGATCATTTTTGTGAATCGTCTAAATCCGTTGAGAAAAATTTAGGGGCGGTCAGATACCTTATCGTCGAGTTTTCACGAGCTCTCCCGAACAGTCTCTCTGTTTTCCGTTTGTAAACAGCCCTGCGATTGGACGTGTATGAAAGCTTCAACTAATCAGATCACTGAAGGCATTATTTGTTGCGGGAGTCTTAGCTCGATTATATACGGCCCAGTGATTGGTTAACTACAAGCGATTGGACCAATCAAATTGCATGTAACATATTGTTTTACCTGATTCATGGCGGCCTCTTCGTCTCGCAAATTCATTGTTCTGGGATCGTTTTGAGCGGAATTATGAAATTTTTGACTAAAGATCAGGAGTCTTCAATCCTAGAAATTGACTCAAACGTCAAGAATAAATTCCGATGGGACTGGCTTGACAGAAAAGTCACTGTAAAGGTTAAAATTGGCTCCAAGTTCGACGAAGTTACAGAAGCTCTTGGACAAT